CGCAAAGCTACACAGAGAAACCCTGTCTCGAAAAAGCAAAAAAAAAAAAAAAAAAAACAAAAAAAAGAAATGAGTTCCTTGGTCAGAAGCATTACTGTGTGGAATACCATGACAGTGGATAAGGCAGTCTGTTAGTTCATGGATGGTGGTTTTGGCAGAAGCGTTACCCGCAGCAAAGGCAAATTCCTAACCTGAATAAACATCTACGCCTGTAAGGACAAAGTGTTGTCCATTCAGAGGAAGAAGTGAGCCAATGTAGTCAAACTGCCACCAGGTCGCCGGCTGGTCACCTGGAATGGCGCCATATCTGGGGCTCATTGTTGGTCTCTGTTGTTGGCAGATCTGGCACTCAGCAGCTGTAGCCAGGTCAGCCTTGGTGACTGGAAGCTTCCAGCAGATGATGTGGCCGGGTTAAAGGTGTGTCTTCCCACATCAAGATCTAGATTAGAAGCAGATCTTCCCACTTCAGATTTAGCAAAAATTCCTCACAGGTGTGCCCCCCAGTTTTAGATTTTAGTTAATCTCAGATTTATTCACACTGACATCCAAGAACAGCCATCTCAGGCAGGTCTCACTTTCTTAAGGAATCCAGTGTTTCGCAAGTCTGAGTGACAGCAGAACTGTGCCCCAGGACAGATTCACTTACTCTCCAGGCTCAGGGAGTATGTATGTGTGTGTGTGTGTGTGTGTGTGTGTGTGTGTGTGTCTGTCTGTCTGTCTGTCTGTCTGTCTTTAGCTGCCCCAGGACAGATGCACTTAACTCTCCAGGCTCAAGGTATCTGTCTTTAGCTTGGCCAGATGGACTTAGGATCCAGAGACTGATGCCCAGAAGCCAGAGATTTTAGAACTGGATCCAATTCTGGTTGTGTCCGAGACACCCATTGGCCTCAGTGCGGTAGGGCAGTCGTGCCAGGTCCACAGACTCCTCAAGTGACATGCCAGCCACACTGGCCTTGCTGGTTCCTGGTCGGCTCAGTCCCTGGCTTTTTTTTTTTTTAATTATTTTATGTTCATTGGTGTGTTTGCTTGCATGTGTGTCTGTGTGAGGGTGTCAGGATTTCTGGAGTTGCAATTACAGACAGTGGTGAGCTGCCATGTAAGTGCTGGGAATTGAACTGGGGTCCTCTGAAGAGCAGCCAGTGCTCTTAACCACTGAACCGTCTCTCCAGCCCTCCCTTGGCTTCTTGGCCACTTTCCTGAGTTCGTTTTGCCCACCACTCCTAGTGCTGGGGGGAGTTATCCGCTGTCCTTCTGATAGCTCCTCCTCAGTATAATGTATGACTTCCTTTACCCCTGCATGCCATCAGGAACGTGGTCAGCCCAAGTCCAGAACGCTCTGTTGGCAACAGTCTGATCTGAGGAGTGAATGCACAAGAACTTTTCTAGCTGGGTGGTGGTGGTGGTAGTGGTGGTGCACGCCTTTAACCCCAGCACTCAGGAGGCAGATGCAGGTTGCCTCTGAGTTGGCCTGGTCTACAGAGGGAGTTTCAGGACAGCCAGAGAAATCCTGCCCTAAAAATAAATAAATAAATAAATAAATAGATAGATAGATAGATAGATAGATAGATAGATAGATAGATGGATGGATGGATAAATAAATAAATAAATAAATAATAAATAAATAAATAAATAAATAAATAAATAAATAAATAAATAGGAAAAGAAACAAGTTTGAAACCCATTTTGAGAACTAAACCAATTCTACCTTGAGCTTGTTAGGGGCTCCCTTCCTTGAAGGTTGAGCCTGAACACCAGGCATTTCCAGACCTGTTTACCTGCTTATTTCATTCTTATGAAGGCCGGACAAGGTGGCGCAGGCCTTTAATCTCAGCACCCTGGGAGCGCAGGCAGGATGATCTCTGTGAGTTCCAAGCCATGCTCCCCCTACCCCCAAAAAGGGTTCCCTGACTCACAGAGGACACATTGGCATTATCTCTCTCCTCTCTCCCTCTCCAGGGTTTCACTCCTCCGCCACCCAGCACTGTGTAGACCAGAGATCAAAGGCATCGTTATCACAACTGGCCTGGCATGGTTTCTCAAGAGCTGCTGTAGGGCAGGAATCTATCCCTGCAGGGTGTAGGCGACAGTTCCTTCTGCCTTTACAGGGGTGACAGTGACTCCCCCCTTCCATCCCCACTTCTCCCTGTTCGGGTTCGCCCTCTGCGTTCCCTCCACGTTCTGTCCTGGCTTAGTCTCAGCTCAACTGGCATGCTCACTGGAACCCCCTTCTTTGTGACGGAATGAAATGAATGGATTGCTTCCCTTCTCCTTGCCTGGGATTCGGTTTTTCTCATCCACTCGTTCACTCCATTTGGTGTGGCTGGGACTTCTCAGGAGAGCCTCTGGGCCTTGCCAGTCTTCAGATGTGGCTGGTGTCTTCCCAGGCTTGGGTCACTGAACCACTTGCTAGGGCCATAGGGGCATCCAAAGGAAGAAATGTTCCCGTTTTGTGCTCAGAGACCCTTAATGTCACACTGTCATGTAATACTACCCTTGGGAAGATGGGGACAAAGTCTACTCACCCCAGTTAGGGAACCAATGACAGGCCAAAATAAGGAAACCCCTGTAAGACGAATTTATAAACAGGCTTATTAATAATAATAAAAAAAAAACTCCGGAGCCAGATAGTGGGGTTAAAATCGAGAGATCAGAAAAGCAAAAAGAAGCCAGCCATGTTCTCACCATTTGGAGAGCCTCAGCCAGAGACCTACTTCCTGTCTACCCACGCCTATATGCCGTTCTGTTCTGCCATCTCATTTCCTCTCTCCGCCCAGCTACATCACTTCCTCTTCCTGTCTGTCTGTACAGACCTCCAGACCGTTATAGTTAGTGCTGGGATTATAGGTATGTACCATCAACACCTGGCTCTGTTTCCAGTATGGCCTTGAACTCACAGAAATCCAGACGGATCTCTGCCTTCCAAGTGATAGGATTAAAGGTGTGTGCTACCATTGCCTGATCTCTATGTTTACTACAGTGGCTGACTTTTTCCTCTGATCCTCAGATACACTTTGGGGTACACAGATAAAATATCACCACAACCCCCCCAAGTCCATGGTAGTGAACCAGTGAGCTTTTTTGGTGTTACTTACAGGGTGTTATTTATTGGGGTTACTTACCTACTTATGGGTGAGGGGTTACCATAGGAGCAGAAAGGACCCAAAAGACAGCTGCATCATGAAAGCCCACGGTGTCACAAAAGCTGCAACCCCAGAGCCCCTGTACAATTTGCAGGCAGCTCTGCGGTTGGAGAATGTCTGTTTCAGGCAGTGCAGCTCATCTGAGAATGCCTCACAGCCGTTCATACCGCATCTATCCATACACTTGGGAAGGAGGGGCCTAGTGTGTCTGGCGGGTTTCAGGGACTTCCTGAAGCCTTTGAGTTGAATGGAATGCCTCACATGCCTTTAGAACATGGGGTGTTCCTGAGGAAAAGGGGTTCCTGGGTCATAGCAAACTCTACCAGAGCTCCATCTTCACTGACTCTCTCCTGGAGAGATGGTTCTAGATCTGGAAGTAGAGAAGAGACCGTGCTTGAGCAGGCCGATGATAACCCCGTCAAAATGGAGGCTGTGAGAGCTGCTGTGAGCGTGCCTGGGGTTCCCACACCTTGCTTTGAGTGCTGGTGATCTGAGAGCTCAAGTCCTCATGCCCGGGTAGCAGGAGCTTTGCCTTGAGAGCCATTTTCCCAGCCCCTGACTTGGGTTTTGGAAAAAACAAAACAAACAAACAAAAAAACTCACTATATACCTGATTGGCAAATCCTGAATTCAAGGCTGGGATTAAAGGCCCTCACCACAGCCAGCCAGCTGGTGTATCCCGCCCCCTTCATCCTCCCTTTTGGTGTTTGGCTTTCTCTCTTTCTTTCTTTTTCTTTCTTTCTTTCTTTCTTTCTTTCTTTCTTTCTTTCTTTCTTTCTTTCTTTCTTTCTTTCTTTCTTTCTTCTTTTCTTTTTTTTTTTTTTTTAAGATTTATGTATTTATTATGTATACAGTGTTCTGTCTTCACACACCCCTGCAGGCCAGAAGAGGGCACCAGATCTCACTACAGATGGTTGTGAGTCACCATGTGGTTGCTGGGAATTGAACTCAGGACCTTTGGAAGAACAAGCAGTGCTCTTAACCTCTGAGCCATCTCTCCAGCCCCCGGTGTTTGGCTTTCTATGAACCAGCTCTGAGCAATAATTCACTCAGGAAGTAAAATATAAAGTGAAGTGTATTCAGAGTGTCCAATATTTGCCTCAAGAGTTAATTGGAGTAAATGTAAATTTTAAAATTAGCATTATTTTTCATGACTTAGAAGTTATTTTTATTCTAGTATATTCTATAATATTAAATATTTATTTTATATTACACATTAATTATACAAAAATTATAATAGATAAGTATATTTTAAAGTCAATGTTTCAAAGCTTAAAATCAAACCAGAAGTGGTGGCTCACACCTGATATTGCAGCACTGAGAGGTGGAGGCAGGAGGATTGCCATGAGTTTGAGGCCAGCCTGATCTACAAAGTGAGTTCTAGGCCAGGCCATCTCAACAAAATAAGATCAGAGTTATTCTGGTTCACATTTACCCGTTCAGTCATCCAATCATTTATTTATTTTAAATTTATTTTTGTGCATATGTGTGCCTGAGTGTGTGTATGTGTCTCATGTATGCAGAAGCCTTGGATGTCAGAAGAGGTTTCCAACCCCCTGGAACTGGAGCTACTGGAGTTATAGACATCGTGACTCATCCTGTGGGTGCTGGGAACCAAACCCAGGTCCTCTGCAAAAAGCAGTAACCACTCTTAAGCACTGAGCTATCTCTCCAGGCCCCTGTCCATTCACTTAAACACAGGCTTTCTCATAGCCCAGGCTGGCCTTAGTGCTCTTATCTCTCTTTCTTGAGTTCTGGGCTTACAGCTGTGCATCGTAACATCTGGCTTTGAATAACATTATTGTAATTCGACTTGGTGAAAAATGAAATGATTGCAATTTTAGCGTTATGAAACTGAAGGCTGGGGCACATTGACAGTTTAAAGTTTATTTGTATATGGAATGATTCCCACCATCATGCTAGTTAGCCGCTTATGATTAGCTGAAGCAAGCATATGGCTATCTACCTTTATTTCCAGTTGATTTGATGAAGAATTTTCAGGTCAGTATTCTTTATATAATTATGATATATATATATATATATATATATATATACACACACACATAATTACTGTTATATATGTTACATATATATATAACATAATTATTGATTCTTTGGGAATTTCACATCATGCACCCCAATCCCACTCACCTCCCAGCCCCTCCACATCCTCCCTGACCCCTGCAACATTCCCCCCCAAGAAACCCAACGCCCCAAAATCAATTAAAAACAAAAGAACACAAACGAACAAGAAACCCACCCCACTCCTCCATCTTTCCAACATTTCTTCATTCACCCCAGTGGGTCCTTCGGTGTGTCACGCAGTGTTCCCTTTTGTCCAGTCAGCCCCACTCACAAAGTGTTCATTGCCTCTGGCATGTCATCATCACTGGACCCTCACCAAAACTCCTCTCAGATATCCTGTTGTTGCCCCGAGTCATGGAGATCCTGTGGTTATCATTGCGAAGGACCAGTCCCTGCACTCACTCCAGCGTCATAGACGGGTAGATGTTAGGGTGGGCCAACCCAAGGCCCAGGAGGTGGGTCTGGAGGAGCGCTGAGCTGGTTGGTCTGGGCCACTGGGACTGGCCCCCTCAGTCGAGGGGCAGAGCCAGCTCCCCAAGGCCTATGACATCGGTTGGGGCCAGCTCTCCTGCTGCACTGTCTAGCCAGGGGCAAAGCTACCTATCCCAGGGCAGTGAGGATTTCAACATGCATGGTTCCTATGACCCCCTGTGGCAACACGGGCCATGGCCATCATCACAGACCCCAGCTACAGCATGAAACGGACCCAGACATGGTCCTTGCAGCTCGGGCCTAGGTTTCACCATGGCCCCAGTGGCAGCCCAGGCCCTGAGACTCCAACACAGTCTCAGGTGGCTATCCAGACCCCGGGCACCCAGACAACCCTTGATGGTAACAGGAGCCACAGACATCAACTCAGCCCCTGGCTGCTGCTGGGCGAGGGACCCAGTCATGGCCCTAGGCAGCACCCGGTACCCCGACAACACCATGGCCCCCTGTGGCAGTGCAGGCTACCCACATCGGCATGGTCCTGGTGGTGGACTAGCCCTCAGACAACATGGTCATAGGTTGCAGCCTAGACCCTGGGCATCCGTGTGGCCCTTGGTGTTACCATAGGTCACAGACATCAGCACAGATCCTGGCTGTGGTAGGACCACAGACTCAGACACAGTCCTTGGTAGCAGCCCGGGGCCAGATGTCACCATGGCCCCAGGTGGCATTACAGGCCACTCAGATTGGCATGGCCTTTGGTGGCACCATGGGTCACAGACCGCAGCTGTGATAGGACCATGATCACGTCAGTATTCTTTTAATCTTGCTTAAATAGCGTTCAGTGTCCACACAGTGAGTAAAGAAGTTCTATCACGTTTCATTGTAGGACTGGTCCAGCCCTGCTGTGTGCTCAGTCCCCTCCCCCACCCAGCCTCACCAGCTGCAGTACTGATGCTCATCTGACTAGAACTCAGCTTCCGGCAGCCCTAACTACCAGCCACACTGTGGTCTGAACCAGGCTGTAACTTCTCCAGGCAAGGACACTGGCTATTCATGTTAATTGACTCTACACAACAGAACTGAACAAAAATGTGTGGACGATGGTGATACTAAAAATGATGTTCTGATCCCATCATTTCATCTTTGTGTGTGTGTTTGAGACAAGGTCTCTCTGCGTAGCCCTGGCTGTCCTGGAACTCATCATGTAGACCAGGTTGGCCTTGAACTCACAGAGATCCGCCTGCCTCTGCCCCCGAGTGCTGTCACTAAAGGTGTGTGCCACTATCTACTTTTATTTTCACATTTATTGATGGTACTTGGGAAGGGGGGGCACGTGCTCATGGAGGTCAGAGGATGATTATGAGAGTCACTTCTCCCCTCCCACCATGTGGGTCTCAAGGGATCAAACTCGGTTGTCAGGCTTGGCAGCAGGGGCTTTACCCACTGAGCCATCTCGATGCCTCCAGCATCCATTCTCGTGATGGAGGGTCCCAGTCAACATCTTCCTTATCATCGGCTCAGGTGAGTGAGTTGCTCTCTGTACAGGTGTTTCATAAATGGGGGGGGGGGTGTTCCGTGCATAATAACTGTTAGGTCATCTCCACCGCCCTGATCAGGGATTGGCCCATTGTAGGAGTTTTCCTTTCCTGGAGTCACTTGAAAATAAACACACTGAGGCTTATATTAATTACAAATGCTTGGCCAATAGCTCAGGCTTATTACTAACTAGCTCGTACATTTTAAGTTAACCCATATTCCTTATTTACACTCTGTCACGATGCGGTACCTTTATTAGCATGGCACGTTCATCTCCTGCTCCCTCTGCATCTGGATGGCGACTCCTCTGACTCTGCCCTTCCTCTCCCAGCATCTTCCTTCTCTCTGTGTCAGGCTGTCTCACCCAATTTCTTCCTGCCCAGCTATCAGCCAATCAGCTTTTTATTAACAACGAAAGCAATACATATTTACAGTGTTCAAAGATTGTTCCACAGTAGCCCGTTTTTAACGTCTTCTAGCTGAATAACTCAGTACCTGAGCTACCCATAGCCCTTGCTCCAGCTACCAGCCGGTTTGCCCCCTCCGCCTCTCGTTGGAGGAGTCTGTCTTTGGTATCCCTAATGGTCAGTCCTACTAGTTGTGCTGCCCACAGCCAATCTGCTTTGTTTATTGGGTTTCCTGTTCCTCGAACTTCTAAGTGGAGCACTGCAGATAGTTCTTGAAGTAGTGGAGAGCTAGCTTGAATTGGACCTGAGCATTGGTGTTGGTCCGGTATGTGTTATAAGACTTCTCCATGGCAGCCATGTCCGGATCCTTCTGTGGTTCCCGTGGCTGGTGCTGTACAGTCACCTCTGGGCACGAGCCCACCAACAGGCTCCCCAGCCCATCAACAAAGAACTCTGCAAAGAGAGGAGGAACGGGAGACACAGGGAGCTGCAGTCAGCCAGGCTTCCCCAGCCACGCTTGAGGGGAGCACCTGGTTCCTAACCACAGGGAAGGCCGGCATCTTGTGGAGCCGGACCCTTGGCTCCAGGGAGTCCTGGAGTTGGAAGGGAAGAAACAGATAACTTCGTTTCTCCATGAGGAGTGTGAGCAGAGGTACCAACGGTTTCCATTAAGTGGTACTGTGGGTTCTGGAGTGGAA